CCTCCTTCCGGAGACTTCAAATTCTTCACTCAGTCGCGCTTCGCAGCCAAGTGGCTTCTTGAGAATAAACACAAATGGACCCATCTGTGTGACCCAAATCTTATCACTCCCCCTTTGACCTTTCCAGTCATTGTTCATTCGATGCCAATCTCCTTTACCCCAGCCAATAAATCTTCAACCTCCGAGCTATGTAAAGAAAATAATATTGATCCTAAAGATATTCTCTCCATCCGATGGCTTGGAGACCCACACTCTAAAAAACAATCTCATGGATCGTTGATCATTAACCTTTTTGATAAGAACCTCGCTCAAAAAGTTGAGAAAGGCGGTCTTTTCTATAAATTCCTATTCTTAAGAGGCGCCCACTATAAAAAGTCCCCGCTGCAATGCTTCCAATGTCTTGACATTGGACATACCGCTCAATTGTGCAAGAACTCTCCAATGTGTAAATTCTGTGGCGATAGCCACAACTCAAGAGAATGTACTTCAGACGACAGTAAAGATGTCTGCGTCAAATGTATTCAATTAGAAAAAAGTCTTAATCTTTCCACTGAGGTGGATGAAGATAATGTCCGATTCCATCATTCCTCCACCAGTATCAAATGCCCCTTGAAATCTAAATCCCTCCGTAAAAATATCTTAAATCATGTATAGGTACAACGACAACAACCCAAACTTAATTCCTCCCCTTTTCTCTTCTTCTCCCCCTTCCATTCCTCCGTCCCCTTCATCAGATGTTTCAGAACCCCTTTTCAAAATTCTCCAATTAAATTGCCATAATTCTTTTGATGTCACCTTCAGCGTCTTAAACACCGAAATCAATTCATCAATCCTCATCTTACAAGAACCATGGATCAACCCTCACTCATTCAAGCTTCCTTCCCACTCTAATTGGCTCTGTCTCCTCGATCACAACCACTCTCCATCTTCGTATCAGAACAAACATCGTATCTGCTTCCTAATTAACAAAGAAATACAACTCCGAACGAAATCCACCCTCTCCCTGGGCGGCTCTCGAATCCTATCAGCTGTTGACATTGACATCAACATCAACAAAATCAAAAAGATTAGACTCATCAATGTCTATAATCCTCCCAAGAACTTCGACGCCCTTTCTTGAACTAAACACCTGGGCTAAACTTCTTTCAACAAATCGAAAAAT